GGCATCTTGTTTAGGAAGTGGATGCCAATCCTGCTTCCAAGAATATTGAGTAGTTGGTGAAAAAAATGGAGTATCATTGAAATTAGATCAAAGAGGGTTTAAACCCAGTCTCATCCATTGATTAACTGATTGACCTTGTACCTAAGTTCCCTGTCATTCAGTTAATGAACAAATACTTACTGAGCACTTATTATCATGTTGGGTGCCATTGGAAATGGCATGGGTCCCTATGGAAATATCATTTAATGCAATAGAGTATTACCGTCTGGACTCGTGGAGTTTATGTTATATTCCACTGGAGAAGGATTATATAAGTTTTTATATGTCATTAAAAAGACTTTGGCTTTTATGCCAAAAATGTACTGAGTAGAATAATGGCACACTATAACAAAATGAGCTGTGGTACTGGAATACTGGTATTGACTTTACCATGGGCTGCTACGAGAATAAACAAGATTTATTCCAGAGAGGCTGTTCCTTGGAGGCAAGGATTCTGAGGCTTCCTCTGACATACTTTGGGCATGTGGCCAGGAGAGACCAGTCTTTGGAGAGGGATATCATGCTTGGTAGGTTTCTGGTGGTATTATTTTTTTCTTTTTTAATTTGTCAAACCTGTTTGCATTTGGCCTACACATTGGTGCAGAAAGAGGACAGTCTTTGCACTGGTCTAGCTGTTTAGCACACCTAAGACTATAAACAGAGTGCATATTTAATTTACCTGAACTGTTTAGTCTTCTGTCCAAGTTTGGTTTCTATGGGACCTCATTTCTAAACATGCAGAATCCTTACAAACACACCTTGAGTTTGTAGATTAAAAAGATAAGTGTTGTCTAGCTCTCTGTTACTCTGCCTCAAACCTCCTTCAGCAGCAAAACAAAGTAATTACCTGGAAAATTCAGGCTAAAACCTCATTTGCCTAAATTGCCCAAGAAGTTCTGCAGACAGCACTGTTAATTACCTTTTCCTTTGGAAACTTATCCTCTGTGTGACGAGACAAAAAGAGAGAGAGGAAGCCATATAAAAATGTACATGAAATTAGCTAGAATCTGAAAACACCAACAGTTGGCAGAGAGCAAAAGTTTTACAAATTGTAAAACTGGGCATATGTCAAAGCATAACAAAAATGTCAGTTCATTCAAATATTGTTATACAGATTTTTCTCCTTAAATCGTGCACCCCAAAATGTTGTTGTTGTTGTT